TACCTTTAGACAAACCTATTAAAGCACAAATTAAACAAATTTATTTTTCTAATAATATTAAATTATTATTTTTATTATTTTTAATAATATAATATATTACAAAAATATATAAATAAACAAATTTCTTTATAGAATTACAAAATTTATAAAATCAAATCAAAACCAAAACTACCAAAATATTAAACAAAGTCTCATCTTATTAGATGAAAATGGTGAAACCATCGTTATTAAGGCGGCTTCTTTTATTCAATATTTTATAATCAACAATTTATTAACTCAAGTGAAAAGAATTAAATTTCTTTTAAATAAAATTTTAAATTTAAGTTTTTTGAATGAAGAAATAGATGTTAAGAGAGTTTTCCCTAATGAAATACAATACGACTCAAAATTCTAAATTAATAGAGATTTAATGTAATTACAAGATATCAAAATTAGTAAAAAAAACACTAAAAAAAAGGCAAAATATTCTCATCAGAGTTTTTTACTAAAATAAATAAATACAGTGAAAAAAAAAAAAAGAAAAAAGAGAAATTCCTAAAACTCGTAAGAGGCCCAAATAAAATAAAGATAAAGAGCGTATATGATAAAACTTGTAAATATTTCAATTTTTTGATACTATTCATGTTATTTTGGTTTATAAATTTATTTTTTTAAAAAAAAATTATATTTTTTAATTTTTTTTAATTTTTTAAAAAAATTAAATAGTAAATTTTAAAAAATTTCAAATTTAAACTTCAAACTTTTATTTTTTATAAACTTTTTTTTTACTCACTTCTTATTTATTTATTTTTATTTTTAAAAACAACTTTTAAATTTACTTTCTAATAAAAATTTAAATTTATCATAAAAAAACAATAAAAAAAATAAAAATTCCAACAAGTCCACCAAACATGACGAAAGTTCTATTTTGACATGCGCATTTTATCTGAGACTGATATTACGTGGATCTCTAGGAATTCTTTCCGGGACTCGAGCGTCCAACGCGAGTTGACAGAAGCACATCTGGCTCATGCTGGCTTATCAGAAAAGACAAAAGTACTGCTCTTTATAGGTTAAATCCCTATTTTGGTCCCTGAATTATTATACGGACCTTGATTTGGTCCTTAAACTAAAGAAATTCCTGATTTAGTCCTTAAACTATTGTACGGATCTTTAATTTGATCTCACTGTTTATAATTTAACCTAAATTAACCCTTAAACTATTGTACGGACCCCCAATTTGGTCCTTACTGTTTACAATTTCACTCCAATTTGGTTATTGAGCTATTATTTAATAGAATGATCAAGTTGGGGCTAAATTGATAAACAGTAGGAACCAAATTGGGGATCCATATAATAGTTTAGGGACTAATTTAGATTCCGTACAATAATTCAAGAAACAAATTAAGGATTTCTTTAGTTTAGGACCAAATCGAAGGTCCGTACAATAGTTTAGGGACCAACACAAGGGTTTAACCCTCTTTATATACCTCACCTGTCCTAAATCAGATCTCATACCTCATTTCCAATTCGATTTTCAATCTGGGCTTTTCGTCAACATGGATTACAGAACTCTAGAGATCACTCTACTCTCCGCCAAGGACCTCAAGGATGTCAATCTTCTCTTCAAGATGGACGTCTACGCCGTCGTCACCATCAACGGCGACCCCCAAACCAAGCAGAAGACCCCCGTCGACAAGGACTGTGGTCCCAACCCCAACTGGAATTACACCATGATATTCACCGTGAACGAAGCCGCCGCCAACCAGAACCGCCTTAAACTCGTGATCCGTCTCGTGTCAGATCGTCGCCTTGGCGATAAGAATATTGGGGAGGTAGTGGTGCCTATGAAGGAATTTCTTGATTGCAAAGAGAAGGATTTCGTTTACAAAGTCAGGTTGCCGAATGGAAAGCTGAAAGGTACGCTGAATTTATGTTCCAAAATTGGGGAGAAATTCGGTGTTCCTGTCGCTGCGCCGCCGCATGTGGCGCCTGTGATGGGATATCCTGCTGCCGGATCCAGCGCGGGATACTACCCGCCACAGTTTGCGTACCAACAGCCGCCACAACAGCCAGTGGTCGAATTGTTTGGCAGGATACTCATCGGCGAAGTCGTATCTCATGCTTTTGATTTTGATGATCCCAGTTTTATGGATGGGCTTAACGTTTGGTTTGATTCCTAATCCTTGATTTGGATTTGTTATAATAAATAGTATTTTGTTTATAATTCATCCTTCTAGAATTGAAATCTATCAAAACTTGATATTGTAATGGTTATTGTAAGTTTGTAATGGTTTTCAATGTTAAATGTATATAGAAGACTATTTTTTTTTTTTAATAACTACAATTTTTGAGAAATTAGATAGAGAGCACAACACATTAGGAGCAGCTATTCCATGCTTGCTCCAATTTTTACTTCTAATGAGTGTGAAGAAGAAATAGCTAATACCTTGGGGAAGACGTGAGATTAGCTATTTCTTCCTCCTTCCAACTTATTTGAAGAAAAGTTGTAAAAGCATGGAATTGGCATTCCTAATTTGCTAGGCTCTCCATCTAATTTACCTTATTTTATATTTTGACCACGGAATAACCATTCCATCAACCAAAAATGCTCTGAATGTCATATCATATATGTATGCAATGCATTTGTATCTAGGCACCTAAATAGTTCCACACAGAAAATCAGAATATACCCACTCTTCTAAGTGCTCTATGGTTTTGATAACCAAGTCAATAGGTACCGCAAAACTCAACCCATCCGTTATTATGACTTTCATTATATTGATGCCAACAATTTCTCCATCAACATTAACAAGAGGACCACC